ACCGGCAAGTGATGTCATTGATATCACCTGGACCTGCCTGAAACACCTGGACCAGCGAGGCTTGCCATGACAAAACCTCTCCTCCATGTGACGTCGCAACTGGCTCCCCTGCATGGCCGAATGCGTGGCAGGCAGCTGCGTCGCGCAACACACGTCCAGTCTGCGGACTGGGTCCAGGTCGCCGACATCGGTCGTCTGGACGGCAGACTGCATGTCCTCGAGATCGGCCGGACCAAGTGGTTCCTTTTTGATAGCCGCGATCGCCGAAAGCAACCAGTGTCCAGGGCAGAAACAATGAAAGCAGCATGGTCAGGATAGCTGTTTGAGCTTGTAAAGGAGCTCCTTCTTTGTAGCGCTGAAGGTCTTGGAGCTTGTGTATTGGATGTGATCCAGCCACGACTCCATCTAAACAGCCTGTCGTATGCCATTGGCTGCCACATGGTGCTCGCCTGGGCACACACACTTGTACCTGCAACAGCTTCACCAAAGTACAAAGGAAATGGGCTGCATCTTTATTTGACTGAAAGTGTGGCCCGACATCGCAGGCATGTACCAGCTTCTTAACTTTTGACCAGTCTGAGGTAGGATGTTAGCTTAAAAGCCTGACGTGTTCCTTGAAATCTATTTGCAAAAGCAGTGCATTTGATGTATTTGAGGCCTTTGCAGATGTTCCAAAGCTGAGATTTCATGCAAGTGTAAGGCCCTCCAACACCTCTCTCACCGGCACCGTGGACGACAGCTTCGGTGGAGTGGAGATGCGGACGGACAAGGGCAACGAGGCCCAGGAAAGGCCCAGGACTTCACCTAAGAGGCCCAGGAATGGTTCGGCAAAATGTCCGGTAGAACACGCGCATGGTGAGCACTCCGAAGTAAGAAGCAATTCTCTGCTATACGACCCACTGAAAAGCCGGGTAGCCCTGAGCATCTTCTTGATCGATCTTGATTCTGCAAAGTGCAGTGCAACGTCAACAGGTACAACTGTGCATGGCAATCCACGACTAAGCGCAACTGGGATCTGTTGTATTCCAATTCACACAGTGTTTTGCTGTTGTTTTTCTCGTTCCCCTCAACTGCTGCTCTCCAGTGATCAAGGACAATGTACTTCAGGAAATAAAAAACCACAGCCACACTTGGAGCCAATTGGAGGCCATCCAAGACAACATTGACACAGGGACCTAGCTTTCACAAGAGAACCACTGGCATTCTAGGAGGCCAAGGGAATGGGACCAACCAGGCAAGAAACTAGGACTAGGTGTTGACTGGTAGCTCGCCCCAATCCCTCTTGCATGGCAGTGATTCACTCAATTGATCGGACCAATTATTGTTTGGATTCCTTCTGATCATCTGTAACATACCAGACACCCCCCAAACCATAGTCAAACCTTCGACACTCTTCTCTGTAGGCACCTGCTCCTCGCTCCCAGCTGTCATTTCGCCTGCGCGGAGCATCTGGGACACACGTCACAGCCCCCCAACATTTGAGATGTCCATCAAGCCCCTCAACTGAGTTACGCAAAGCTACATAAAGCTACATGTGTTGCTACATGTGTTGCAATGCTTGAACTCATCAGTGGCACAGTTGCTGAAGATCTGGTGGGGTCAGTGCTGAAATTATGCACCTTCTGTACCGAAATTCTTGTTTAGATCCCTTTAGGGTCGCCGTTCTTCATCGGAAAGAAACACAAAGGCAAATGGACTTAGACACCATGGAACAGTCCCCCATTACTGTACCACCTTCAGTAGAACGTCTGGAATATGTCGACCATTTTCTGGCCTCGTCTAATATTCTGCTGATTAGGGGCCTGAAAGCGCCAACATCAAGCGTAAGACGCCAGTAGTTTTTTAGCAGTTTCCTGGCTAATGCATGCCAATACCTTGGGTTTGTCCCATTACCTGAAACAGTCAGTAAACAATTATCACTATTTTTGAACAAAGCCTGCAACTGAAGCATCATCATCCACTGTTACAGGTATTAGGATAGACTCAAGCAATACCATAAAGCCTCCAAACAAGGTGACCCCAAATCACCTATCTCCAAAACCGATTCGTCCCAATCCCGCTGGCCTCAAATCGGCCCCAAATAGCAGCAGGAGAATCTAGACCAGCGTCTCTTACTTGAGATGCCTCTCTCACTCCTTTCTACTGGGAAAAGGGATACAAGTACCTAGTTTCATTGGGTCATGTCCCGTGCTTATGGGGTACTTTGGAGGGACATCTTCGATGACAGTCGATGGAGAAACCCATCGACACCCATTGCCGGCCTAATGCTCTCCACGGCATCTTGTGTGCTGGCCTCATGGGAACACCTGCCGTCAATGTGGCATCCAAGAATGCCTTAAGCTTGGAGCACTTGGCTTCTTCAGGACTACATAACACATCCTTCAATCTGATGTAGGAGTGTAGGGGTGACTCATCAAGGGGCCAAGCTCAGTAACCAATCACAGGGACAGTGTCCTTGAAGAAAGCTTGGTCCGCAACAAATGCTCTCATTCCGCTCATTCACATGACATGCGCACTGTTCACATGTGCATTCCCTGAAAATCAGCCTCCTTGCACGAGAGCATCTGTCACCCGGTTCGACCAGCAAAAGCAAAATGTTCAGTTGTTTTTTTTGGTTTTTGTTTTTCTTCAATTTAAAAAAAGGAATTCCTGAGCCCCTGCATCGTTTGCTTAGATTAAACGGACGATGGTGACTGACCCATACATCCCACGAAACACTCGGCCTTGCGTGCTTATCAAAAGGACAAACAAGTCCCCTTGACCTGACCAAGTGTCAATCCCTTTGTAAAACACCGCAAAAACGAAACACATCACCTAGATTCGTGAAATTTACCCAACATGACTCGGGGGGGCCTTGATGGGTGACACACTCCGGGTGGAGACGCCCAGCCCTTCTAAAGAACCATATATTGAGTACTCTGGAATGGTGTTCATCAGTCGCAAATATACGATCTTTGGCGGTTCAGGGTGATTCACAAGAATTCTTTGAACCACACCCAAACACTTCATGGGTCTGCCATATTTGCCTATATATTTGGGTCGATCCTATTACTTGGTTACATCGTGGATGACGATGGTTCAGGCCCGCAGGCCTTGTTTTTTCGATCAAATGAGGCTCAGGAAAAACCAAGAACACAGCAGCAGCATTGTTTCGATCTTGGAGCGGAACTTGGGGAGAAACACGTTGGACACCTAAAAAGAAACACTTCCATGATTCAATGCCTGACGTCATCCTTTGTCTATTGACATTGATCTGAGATGTGCTTTGTTCATCGCGACAATGTTGGACAACACCCATGGTTATCGCTTTGAATTTGTTGCTGTTTACGGTCCACACGGTCCGCTCATCCCCTTCACTGCATGCACTTATAGTGGATTGAGAGTAGATGGCACAAACCCCAAGAGGTGGTTTATATGGACCCCCATCTACAGGACATCTTGGGGTCTGTGCCATCTACTGTAACCACTGTAATCATAGCCACTGGACGATACCAGCCCTCCGGAGTGACGATTGATTTGTATTCCGATCCCTCCAACAAGTGCGGAAGTGGAATGCTCAAAAGCACATTTTCCTCTGCAAGCAGTTGGAGAACCCCACTTCCATGTTTGTTGGAGCTGAGGGTAACAACAAAACATCAGGAACATCTCAAAAACAACCACAACAACAACAACAACGAAGCGGACGGAGACGCATCGTTGCACCCGAAGTGGAACGCCCAAAGCGGACGCGGAGTTCGAACCCGCTCCTGGGATTGAAGTTCGAGGCAGTGCAATCGCCTAGAGTCGGTGCAATGAAGTGGGCTGGCTTTGCACTCTGTGCGTCGTTCAGTCAGAAAAGAATCCAAAGAGAAAGGCCTCCATACTGACTGAACAAAGTTGAACAGCACAAAAGCCCTTAAATGTATCCTTTTATATGCGTCCATATGCGTCCAAACCAAGACAACAAAAATAACAGGGAAGCATCTTAAGGGCTTCATGACTTCATCTAGTGAACAACAACCAATTCACCTTAAAAACCCTTTAAAACCACCCCTGTCCACAGCTCCCTTCTCGATTTCCACCGTCTTGATCCCCACAGGTCGCGTGTTTTTGGGCGGACCAATCGATAGGCGTTCCACCCGTGCCCGTTACGCCTGCGGTGAACTGATTGAAGAAGCCACTGACGCTTTCAGTGTCGAAGAGGTCGCTTAAACCTGCAAGGTCGCTGGACTGGAAATTTGCTGTCCAGGCTCCTGGGAAAATACAACATATTCCCCCGGTTATGGGGGTTTAACTATACAGAAAAAAACATCACCTGATCAGCAAAACCTGCCAGGATTTCCACTGGGTTGTAGCTGGCAACCGATGCCACAGGGAGACCGGATCTCCCTGGAGCAAACCCTCCAACATTTGTCTGGTTCCACCTCTCTCAAACCTTCCATTTAATTGCCCCAGATCGATCCACGTGGGTGAGGTTAGTAGGGAACCCACTCCCGACGTTGTGTCCGAAAAAACACCTTTCATCCAACAAACTCCACCGGTTCATCTTGAGAGATTCTTGGAATCCCATTTTGCAGGTGATCCCCTTTTCACATCTTTTCACTTCCTGGCACTCCACTTGTCAACAAAAGCCCATGGCTCTGACTCTATCCACAGTCACAGGGCTTTCTTTTAAGGTCTCCGGAGGAAGATGTCGCGACACACGCACCGTGGCGTACGATGTTGACGCACGTGTCACGAGCGGTGTTTCTGACAGATTTACATTCACCCTGGTGAAAGCCCCTCGGTGTGTGGCATGTCAAAGATTTTGGATGCACAAAACGATTTGCATAAGACTGCATTTCTACAAATATGACCTTTTTGCATAATTGACACTCTATAGGCAAATGATGGCAAATGTAAAGACTCACTCATACTCGCCTAATTACATTGAGTGTTTGGGAATTGTTTTAAAAAAGTCAACTATAGTCATAGTAGTCCCAAATGGATCCAAATGGATATAGATAATCCAGTACATCCTCGAAGTGAATTCACTTGCCCGTCTAGTTTGGGATCACTACAACATCGCATAGCCTGCCGTTCCGGCCAAAGACTGCTGTCTTTTTCACATCCATCTCACGCTAGCAGAAGCTCGGATGGCATAAACCTCGCTACCATCCTTGCTTCGGTGCTCCGATCGCCGAACCAAGCTTCCAAAGAACAGGTGTTTTTTTTTGGTGGACAGAGGAGACTCTGCAACCTCTAGGGGGTGCCGTATTACATGTTTAAAATCAGTTTTATATAGGATATTCTAGGAACACAATCAAAATCACCTCGCACACCCTGGACTCCCATGTCCTCCCACGATGTCCTCCCCCATGATCAAACCCTATAGTCAGGCTCCATACCATAGCGACCAATCGGGCTGAAACTCTGCTATACTCTAACGAATTGTTCCACACAAAGGTCTCCCAACTTTTCTAGTGCTGTTCTCTGCACTTTCCCTTGGCTCTTGGAGGAGGGTGGTCAGCAAGCCTTCGTAGTTGGTTGCTGTTCTTCGCTTCAAACACGATTCCATCCAAGAAGATTCGGTCCTTTTAAGAAGAACACGCACCCCTGTCAATTAACCCTGCCAGGTTTTGGGTGGAAAAGCCGCTTTTCCGCCAAACACTTGGAGGTCCAGTCTCCAAACAAACACATCTGTGATCCAGAACGTGGCTAGTTCATGTTCTTGTCTTTGTCCAAAATCATCTATCCTCCAAGAAAGTAGACAACAAACAGCTAATCTAAAGCCAATCTGCCACTCTACGGATACTGTTTCACCTCCACACCCTGAACCCTTCAATTCCAATCATGTGAACGCATAGGCTCACACATGCTGCACATATGCAAGAAAACTCCGCACATAGTGGTGTATCCACTACAAACGAGTCGCCGCGCGTGTCCAATCGATCATACAATCACAATCTTTCACAAACGCACGCACACACACACACGAAGAAACAACATCGGGGCAACAGTAATTACATGTAATCGCGATGTTCCCACACGGCTTTTTGCGCGGTATTTCCACTACGTGCCCTCCAACAAGTTCACCCAAAAACTTCAGGTAGGAGCTCCCAGTGCCAAAAGTGACAAACGGTCGAACGCATTGGAAGAGGCGCTCTCATCACTTCACCGCCCTAAGAATCCAGGCCCGAACCAACACATAGGGTGTGGTTCGGGTTCGGACCCCTGCGAAGGTGTCGGGTCCAAACCCCTGCCATGGAGGGCTGAAGGATTCTTACAGGGCCACCAAATTGCGCTGAGTCTCATGCCATAGTAGGTGGGATGCTCATTTGCCAAGACTTCTCCACGCCAAGACCTGCCCAGCAACGCGCCCTGTAGAGCCACCAGACCGGTGAAGCCGCAAGACATGGCGCCTTCTCCTGCGCTTCTCGCCGGTCACCCGGGCGCACAGTAGTCGACTCCATCAGTCACCCAGAGTCACCCCCGCCAATGGTTCGTTGGGATCCATTTTTGGGGTCGGAGGATGGAAGCAAAACTACTGTCTGAAACCAATGAAACACACAGCAACTTCGGAATGTCTTTGTGCATTGGTTAAAGTCTCTTTCGGGTCTATTTGTTGGGCTCAGGAATTCATCAATTTGGGCTATTGTCGATGGGCTCTGGATCTTCTACCAACAAGACCGGAGGGTCCCCAGTTCCCGAATTTGGCTTTGGAGTAGGATCTGTCTCTCCACGTATATATCTCCTTCACAATGCCCCCAATGCAGCAATGATGTCATGCATATAGAAAGCTCGGGTGTCCAGGGTTTCTGAAACAGAGTTCCCTTTTTCATCTTTTTCCCTTAAGGCCTGGAACGGGATCGAAGAGTACCCCCTCCACCTTCCTTGACACGCTTGCACCCAGTCCAAAACACCAAAAAAGTTCACCCTCGCCGTCCAACGGCTGGCCTGGGTCCTGTCACTCCCATCTGCAACGGGTTGAACCCAGGCGTTTCCCAGGGTTTTTGTGAGAGCGCGGTCGCCATCTGTGTCCTGAAACCAAGAGTGAGGTAAGGTATATTCACTGCATCAATCAAAAACTTCGGATCTGTCACCGCCCGACCGTCCATAATTAGTGGGTTTTATTCCTTTTTCTCCGCCGGATCCGTCTCCCTCCATCCCAGCTTCCTTGAAGACGACGCGCTTCGGACAGCGCCCTCATGGAGGATTGGGATCCGCCAGCAGCAGCCCACTGGCTGCAAGCTTGATCATAGGGCTCCGCACAAGGGCAGTAGCCATAAGGACCTCAAGGACGCGCATGTGCTGGGCGGTCGATTCATGCGGCATTTGGGCGCTGGAAGTCCGGAAGGAAGAGGAGTAAGGAGTAAGAGGATGGGTATGGATTGGTGGAAGAAACAATTCGGCTCTTGACCCTCCAAAGAGTTTTGTGATTGATGTAGTACAGTAATGAATGATTGATTGACCCAGATTCACGAAGAGTGTGCAACCCCTCCATGGGGTTGAAGAACCCTTATGTGGCAGGGACCTCCCAAGAAAAAACATGGAAAGCGATATGCAGCAGCCAAACACAGGTGCCCAGTTCTTCCCCCAAACTAGTAGCTCCTGACGTTACTACCAGTAACAGAACGAGAAGCTACTAGTAACAAAGGGCATCGCTACGAACGGAGCAATGTTCGCTACTAATTCGTAGCAATGCAGTCTGGGCAAGAACTGGTGCTCCAAGATCCACATGCTTCACGGTAGAAATCACAGACCACCCAGGCGGTTTTCCTATCATCGCAAACGAGCCGCGCAAACGAGCGGCGCGCAAACGAGCGGGTCGGCTTGTCATGACACGCGGCGCGCAAACGAGCGGGTCGGCCCCCAGGTCTATCCGATCCCGGGCCCCAATCGGTCAAGAACTGCGTCCGAAGCATCCGCGTCAAACCATATAGGCGAGTTCTGTAAGCATCGGCTTGGAAATATGTTCAAGTGAGTAGAGCAAGAGTTCTGGATGGAATCTGGAACACCACGTTGTGCTTTTGGCCCAGTTTCTTGTGGAAAATGCATAGCATGAACAACAGTGCCTGCTTTTTCACTTCTTGGGCAGAGATTCCATCCAGTTTCAATTCCCTTGAGGGGCACAGCAGCTCAGTTTTCAGATGCACAGCAGTGTTTTTTTTGCAATTTGTTGGAACGGTATATTTCTGCGTGTCAGCAAGCCCAAACCACTCCAACAATAAAACAATGCAATATGTGTCAAATGAGAACTCCCCCATTCATTTGGTCTTCCAACGCTTTAAACCCTGGATGGGGACATTGCTAGTCACTATCGTGACTGTGACACCAATGTGTTGTTTATCATTCATCATCACAGGCTTTGCTCATGTAAAAACTGCCAGTGAGCTATTCTAAGACTTCCATGTATAGGTTTACCTTGTTTGCTCTGGGAACATTCCGAGCGCACCCGTTTTGCCTGTTGGACAGCCAGCCAGTGCGTTCGACTTCGACCAACTGCCAGTGCCACGTGGCCACTTTGCAAGTGTGTATGAGCCAGGTCAGCGGAGACCAACCACAGAACTCCTGGGCCAACACGGCAAATGTCTGGACCTCTTAGAGGTACCAGCTGCTTACATAGGTACCCTGTTTGCAGGGTCCATGGGTTGTGGATGTCTTTTGTGCTTCTGCCTGTTGGTGCCAAGATATGCTGTTCACAGTGTGTGAATATCCTGTAGGTAGATCGTGCGGGATCCCTTGCATCAAACGAGGTGATGGACACGCCTGCTTGAACAAGGAGTAAGTGGACAGTAGCTTGTCAGCCAGGCTAGTCCCTGGAGTAGGAGACCCAACATCTTAGTTATTCTTAGTTTGCCATAGAAACAGGAGGTTTTTACGCCATTGGAGGCTCCACCCTGAGCTTCACACATTGGCGCACGTTGGCGCACTCAACTGGGCGAGCTGGGCTTCTCCTCCGACCTGCGCCCTCCGACCTGCGCCTCCGAACAAGAAAGACACCAAACTCACCAGAATGAAGAGTCTACCAAAGACGCAACATGTTTGGGTAAAACCAAGGAAAAGGAGGTGGGTATATCTGAAAGGACAGTCAGTTACCCGCACATTGATCCGAACCCCACAAAGGACGAAATCCCAACAAAGGACGAAAACACATTGGTTCTCCGCCCTTTAACGCAGTGTCTTGGTGCCCCGAAGTGGCCCAAAACCAGAAACTCGGGTTCCGACTTCATGTCGAGGGTCTCTCTGGCAGTGCATCCAGAAACTCTCCAATGCGAGCTCCCAACAAGAGCAACTCATCAAACATCTCCGCTGAATGGTTGAAGCGCCTGGCGCCGTGCGCGAGGCAGCGCGCTTCGTGCAAATTCCGGCGTCGCATGCGGACCGCGGAGTTCTCTGAGAACAAACACGACTAAAATAGAAGGCCATATGCTGCTTCACGCGTCCGTAATTCACCTATTGAATGCATAGCTACAAGACAAGTATTACACGTCGAGAGGATTCCGACTTCAGTTCACTCCTGGTCGGGCAGCTGTCGCCTTCACATCTTCAAAAGGGAATCTGATCGCGGTTTGAGGATGGATTGAAACGACTGTCTTCCACCAGCTTCAGGGCGAAGTTGCATGCGAATGAATGAGTAAAACCAAGGTCCACAAACATCCTAATCCCACTAGTAAGCAAAACCACTCTATCCAAGTATGCAAGCCATTTGCAGGTCATGACTATGCCCCACATGTGCTATGGCCAAGAATTGCAATTTTTCATTTTACAGTATGCAATGTTTTCTTTCACCTAAAGCTTGGGCGTCTCAATCCTGTCCCACAATCTGCCCTCTTGACATGGACAAACTGCATACGAGTGGATAAGAATCTTGGTAGAAACCACTTAGTCTACTGCTTAGGTGAAAGGATCCTCCACTATTCCAGCCCATCCATTACTCTTGGTCTTGGTTCTCTGAGCAAGGCTTCAATCAGGAGCGAGTCAGCCCGTGCTCCGCAGCACAACGACGACCTGTGACGCATCCAGGTCAAGAAAAAGCCCGTGCCTGAGGGGAAAGGACATCGGCAGCACCGGTGGTAAGGGCCCATACGCTCGCAAGTACCTGCGGCGAGGTTCAGCCAGGCAGTACTGCATGGCTGGGGTCATGAAGGCTTTTGGGGGTACAGTTTTTGTGTTCAGAACTGTTTATGATAACACAAAATATCAAGACAGGTTATTGTATGTTATTATCTAATTCACACTGATGAGCCGCATTTCTCATCACACTGATGATCCGTATGAACATGTTGCTGTATATAATATACATGTGTATCATTGTGCCACCCAAGAATAAACATAATATCTAAGGATGTGCAGTCTAGCCTTTTTAGGGCTCTCCAGCTTTGCACTACAGTGAAATTTATCACTTGCAAAAAAAACATCTCATCCATGACACATATCAAACTTAAACTTTGCGGATGGCGTTGGAGGCTTAAAGTTGCTCAAATTTATCCACCTTAATGTTCAAGAACTAGCTCTTCCTCAAAAAACATGCATGGTTCTCTGTCAGGTTGTCCGGCTATCTTTATCTGAACAGCCATGGATAAAACGTTTACTTGCAGGGGTATCTCCATTAAGGGTCTTCCAACCCGCAGCAATGTACTACCCACCAAAGTAATGTTGACTGTTCTTGAATATGACCCCGCAACCAAAACTTTGGCTTGGTCACGTCAATGGCAGGATCTCGCCCCAACTGATGGGCAGCGGCTGTGAATTTGAAAAGCCTTGCAGGCCCTCCACGGGCAAAGAGGACTCCTTTCAGGGCTGTCGGGAGAAGCTAGGTAGCTCAAAGGAGTTTGTTAGTTACATGATCCCCTGGAGAGCACTGAACCTTTGAACCATTGAAGTGCATTGCATGGAAGTTCCTGAAGCCTTCCAAAAGAGATGAATCTTCATCAACCATGAGTATCTGCAATAACTATATACTTCCTAATCTAGTCTAAACAAACACCAATCTCAGTGGAACAAACTCATTGAACTGCTTATTCAGTCATTTTTCCAGGAGACAATGAGGTGTTCCTGCTAGCTGCTGGTCAGTTCGGATTGGCTCAGCTCCCGGCGCCCCAGCGCACGACTAAGGAGAGTGTGAGGAACGGAGCACGAGGCTGGGTTGGATGTTCTTCCAACCATTTTCATGGCTCATGGGTCTACAGCCTACAGCTGTGGATGCTCATGTTCGTTTCAGTCTGATCCAAGCCACTTGCTTGCTTGAGATGGCATGACCAGGTCTGGAAGGCATGTACTACGTGTGATCAGATCCAATGAGTCGGTACTGTCTTTCAACACTCGTAGTCTTGCAAAAGCATTCCAAGTTAGAATATGTACCATGAATACTCTTGATTAATAACCCCTCAAACATGAATCGTCAAAACCTCTTCATATGGGTGGGTGAAATATCAAGAGTATCCATTCTAATCAATCATATCACAGATGAAACACCAAAAACCACACGCACATGTAATGTAAAGTCAGGATTAATAAATCCCCCTAGTTAGCCCGAGTCCACAAAGCCGCCGGAAATTGCCCAAATTAAAAGTCTTATTGGCTGTTGATTTCCCCCCCTATGGTCTAGTTTTCTGCCAACAATCCCCACCAATTAATCCGAGCCCACAACCAGGTCAACTTTTTGTATTACTACTACTACTACTACTACTACTACTACTACTACTACTACTACTA